ACACACAGCTTCTTTAGTCTGCTGCCATCAGGGAGGAGACTGCGGAGTCTCCAGGCCAGGACCAGCAGACTGAAGGTCAGCTTCATTCATCAGGCTGTCAGGAAGCTGAACTTCCTCCCGACCTTGCCCCCCCTCCCCTCTTTTGCCCCAGGCACCACTGAACTCTGAACCCCTTCCCCTCTTTTGCCATAAAACCATAATTCAAATACCTCTTCAGTCAGTTTAAATAAAGAACTGCGCTCTGAGCTTTTTGTCACTTTAATCAGACTGAATAAGCTCTTTTGCACTACAATCAATTTATCTGCACTGTTTACTTCACTGGTTTGCACTATTTAACTTTATATATATTTAAATTTTTTACATGTCCTTATTTGTATATTTGTATAGTTGTATTTTATATTTATTCTGTATCTATCTGTATTTTTATGCTCTACTGTTAGTGTTAGTGACCAAGGGTCTGAGAGTAACGCAATTTCAATTCTCTGTATGTATGTGCTGTCAAGTCAAGTCAAGTTTATTTGTACAGCGCTTTTCACGATACAAATCATTGCAAAGCAACTTTACAGCAAATTAAGTTTCTACAATATTTAGTGGTAGCTTATCAGTGGTGACTGTCAGTTAATGTACATATGGCAGAAATGTATGGAAAAATCAATTTAAGACGTAATAAAACAGATGATGAACACTATTAACAGCAATTATTATATGATGCAATCAAACTTATAGCAAAATGTGATAGTTCTGTATGTTGTTTCAGGGTTGGCCATGTGGAAGAATTGACAATAAAGCAGACTTTGACTTTGACTTTGACTTTGATTTGATCAGATGCGATTATAAATGGGAGTGACTCCTGGTTAACATGTATTAATGGGTCTTGTTTAGTCACTATTTAGTGTGAATTTTTCTACAATATTCACTCATCATGAGTCATGACAGTAAAATAGGGCATTCTAAGTAAATCTACTGCAGTATTTCCTCTCTCAATCAGTAGAAAATGTGGTTAACACCCGGTCATGCATGGGAAAAAATATACCGTCATTTACTGTGAATCTGGTATCATTTTGAAAAACAGCGTGATATAAATTTTTGGTCATACCGCCCACCATTACTTCTATGCAACACAAAATCACTTGCTCGTGTAGATACAGTATATGAATTAACAATGGATCTTTTCACATTTCTGACATGAAGTAAACAATAGCAGGCAGTCTAAATGTATAGATGTATGGGAGACCTTAGCAAATATAATTTTTCATTACCGTTTGGTAATAAAAGAAAAATCCAGACAGAAGAGATAAAGCATGTCTTTTTTTTTTGCCAGGGTAACATAACATCAAGTACAGTGTCATAAATGTACATTAATTATCTTTAAGCGGAAAACAATGATTTTATCAGACGATGCCGTGATTATAAATGAGAGTGACTCCTGGTTAACATGTATTAATGGGTCTTGTTTAGTCACTATTTAGTGTGAATTTTTCTACAATATTCACTCATCATGAGTCATGACAGTAAAATAGGGCATTCTAAGTAAATCTACTGCAGTATTTCCTCTCTCAATCAGTAGAAAATGTGGTTAACACCCGGTCATGCATGGGAAAAAATATACCGTCATTTACTGTGAATCTGGTATCATTTTGAAAAACAGCGTGATATAAATTTTTGGTCATACCGCCCACCATTACTTCTATGCAACACAAAATCACTTGCTCGTGTAGATACAGTATATGAATTAACAATGGATCTTTTCACATTTCTGACATGAAGTAAACAATAGCAGGCAGTCTAAATGTATAGATGTATGGGAGACCTTAGCAAATATAATTTTTCATTACCGTTTGGTAATAAAAGAAAAATCCAGACAGAAGAGATAAAGCATGTCTTTTTTTTTTACCAGGGTAACATAACATCAAGTACAGTGTCATAAATGTACATTAATTATCTTTAAGCGGAAAACAAACATTTACCCACAAAATGTTTGGGATTTCACTAATGTAAAAACAGTGAATCTGATGTGTCTCACAAGCTCTGAATTAAACACTTTTACAATTCTAAAAAAAGCAATGAGCGAAAATAAAATATAAACCTTCACATTGTCAGTTCCATCGCATATTTAAGAACTTTTAAAGGTGGATTTTAGCCATTTTAAGGATAGTTAAGCCCTTATTTTTTACATTAAGGAATGTAAAGCTTTTTAAGGATCTGCAGGCACCCTGTTAAATCTTTGTTAGCTTAATGTTCCACAAACTCATTAAAAATGAATGAAGAATGAAGACCAACCTCCTTGTTCCTCTAGTTTTATTCTGCAGGGTTCTGGTTCCTCGTGTTTTATTCTGCAGGGTTCTGGTTCCTCGTGTTTTATTCTGCAGGGTTCTGGTTCCTCGTGTTTTATTCTGCAGGGTTCTGGTTCCTCGTGTTTTATTCTGCAGGGTTCTGGTTCCTCGTGTTTTATTCTGCAGGGTTCTGGTTCCTCGTGTTTTATTCTGCAGGGTTCTGGTTCCTCGTGTTTTATTCTGCAGGGTTCTGGTTCCTCGTGTTTTATTCTGCAGGGTTCTGGTTCCTCGTGTTTTATTCTCCGGGGTTCTGGTTCCTCGTGTTTTATTCTCCGGGGTTCTGGTTCCTCGTGTTTTATTCTCCGGGGTTCTGGTTCCTCGTGTTTTATTCTGCAGGGTTCTGGTTCCTTTAGTTTTATTCTCCAGGGTTCTGGTTCACTCATGTCCTCTTCACTCTCCTCTTTAACAAACACCATCTTCACAGCAGCAGATCTCAGTTCAGATGATACTCCTCCAGATATTCCTGCTTACTAGAAAACTTAGTCACGACTGTGAGGATGAGAATAGTACAGGTATTTACGGACCTGATTCAAAAACTGTATTTTTTCTATTTACAGAACAACATTTCTAACAGTTTGTATTCAAATCAAGACCAAAACAACAGAGATCACGCTGAAACTAATGTTCTTCCTCTGGGGTTTAATGGTGTTTGGTGAACATACGTATGTGTTTTAGCTCCACCCGCTGGACTGGAGTGTGAAGCGTTGAGTAGTGATGGGCAAATGAAGCCTCTGATATTACTTTTACTCTGACTGTTGATGGATTGTAATGTTTCTAATGGTATTTCTAGTGGAAACACTTAGAATTTCTGGGATGGTTTCTATTGTTTTTTTTTATTTTATTCTTTTTTATTTTAGCAGGGATACATAAATTGCATATGCAATATGCAATTATTTTATTTTCCTGAAATAATTTGTATTCTTCATTTTACTTGTGTGACTGGGTATTTAAGAATGTAATTGAATAAGTAAGAATGAAAACTTGATCGTAAAGTAATGCTGCCTTCACAAATTAATTTTTTCCCACTTATGAAGTTGTGACTAGGAGCATGTTGCATTTAAGTGCTTTGTTGTCGGAAAGAATAATTCCATTGGTTGATAACCGTAAACATTCAATAGGCTAGATAGTTAGCTTGCTGACAATTCAGGAATTTGTAATACATGTCAGAAAGTTTTATTCTTGTAAATCATTGTGTTTTCTTATAAGTTTCATATTATGTTTAATTGTCTTATAGTGCATGTGTAACCACCTGTAGCTTGCTTACTCTTTCATGAAGGAAAGTAGAAGCTTTTTACCAACTGTTCTTGTTCAGGAAGCTGAAGAAGAGGCTGTTACACTTTTAAGAAACACCAAGATTATTTTTTTAACTTGTTTTTTATTGTTTTTAAAATAAATCCTCCATTTATGATGTATTTAGAAAACGCAGATGCAAGATATACTGTCGTGTAGCTTTGCAACTGATCCTGCTGTGCTTCTCTTGTAAGTAGGAATGGTATATGAACATGGTATTAATAAGAAGGTACTATATAACATGTTGATAAATAACATATTGAATTATGTATTGGGAGAAGAAACATTGCAACCCCCCGAGCTAAGACAATGTTTAATTGGTCAAGACACCATTTGGGATGTATCCAACAGCCCAGTTTAAAAACTCAGGACACCATCAAATTATGCTTTTAGCTTTAGCTTTAGGTTTTTGCTTTATGCTTTTACCCGCCACTTTTTGCTCTTAGCCTTTTTGCCACTGCTTTTTGCCCGTTAATTCTTCGAGCGTGGTTCCAGCGTGCTCTGGCTTGCATGCCAGCAGCTCCTCTAAAACCATGAGGAGAAACGCCACCTAGTCTCGTCAAACTTTACTCTTTTCATTCTTTTACTTCAGTTTAGTTTTGTTGAGAGTTTTGTGTTCTGAGTTAAGTTTCGCCACAACACAGTGTCTCCGAATTCACCTTGAGTCTGTGAAGAGAGACGTCTCTTCAACGACTACTGAACTTCCAGCCAATCAGCAACCTCGGGAAACCCCTTTCTGCAATGACGACAAGGGAACCCCCTAAACAAGCAAAGCAAGTACCTCCAGATCCTAGCTGAACTGATGCATTTCATATCAATTTTAGCTTCATTGAGGAACTCAATTCGAGGGTTAATTAAGTGATTGATGGTTGTTCAGGTCTATGCAATTGCACATATTGCTATAAACCTGGGATTTTACATTTTCACTCTCCTAAACTCATTCTTTCCTCACTTTCTGCAACTTGTGTGAATGAGTGCATATGTTTGTATATGTGCATATGTCTTAAACTGTGGATCTTGTTAATCTGCTAATAAAGTGTTTTCACTATATTTTGGATATTAATATCCATGCAGAGTTTATGTCGTATGGCTTGTTCAATGATCCGCTGGCCGTCTCAGTGATCAGTCGTAAAACAGTGATTCTGTCCAAATTCCCTATAAAATCAAAAATAATTTCCTTTGAGCTAAATTTAACCTGTTTCTCTTACAATATATATATATATATATATATATTATATGGAATGGTATGGTATGGTATTTGAGCACAAGTATTAGGACAGTTGAACTTAAAGCAAATGTAAAAGTTGAAAAGCAAATATTTAGTTGCAAATCCCTTGCATGCAATCACAGCATTGAGTCTGCCACCCATAAACATCACCAGACTCTTGGTCTCATCCATTGAAATGCTTTTCCAAGCCTTTAATGCAGCCAATTTCAACTGTTGTGTCAGCTGGTGAAATTCATGTTCAGTTGGATTTCTATCTGGAGATTGACTTGGTCAGTCTAAGACTTTCCATTTCTTTGCCCTTAAAAACTCATTGACTGAACTGGCAGGGTGTTTTGGTCATTGTCCTGATGCAACATGAAGGGCTTTCTGAGGAATCTGGTGCCATTTTCTTGAAAATTGGTAGCCAAGATGGTTTTGTACCTTTCTGATTTCATTCTGCTGCTGCCATCATACATTACTATCTCCAATAAAGTTGAGAGGTCATGTTCCAGACGCAGCCATGCCATGACACCATCTCCACCATGGTTTACAGATGAGGTTATATGCTTAGGATCATTTGCATTTCCCCTTTTTTTCCCCACTCAGTACTTTTGCTTTCCCGTCACTAAGATAAAGGTTCATCTTTGTCTCATCTGTTGGTAAAACTCTGTTCCAAAACTCTACTTGCTCACCTTTTTCGCAAACTCTAATCTGGTCTTTCTGTTTTTGGTGCTGGTCAGAGGTTTCCATCCTGCTGTTTAGCATCTGTAGTTCTGTGTCAAAGTCTCCTGCAGACAGTAGGTTGTTGTTGATTTTATAGACATCTAATTTAGGGTTCTTTTTCACAGCTTTCGTGATTTGTCTGTCATCAGCAGTTGTTGTTTTTCTCAGCAAGACGTTTTTCTCAGGTCGTTGTTGTTTGCTTAAGTAATTGGTGGTTTGTTTCTATTTCAGGACTGTTGATTTCAAATGGTTGATTTCTTCATGCCCAATGTTTTTGCTATAGCTCTAACGGAGTTCTTCTTTTCTTTTAGCTTTCAAATAGCTTGCTTTTCTTACAAAGTCTGTTCCATCGTCTTCATCCTGGTTTTTGTGTCGTCATCGAATGCAAGACTCAGAATGCAGAAGCAATGAATATATCTGATATGACAAATTTCCCACTTTTAATATCTGAATAATTAATGCAACAGAACATGCTGATCACTTAGAAAGGCCTTTTAATCATATTTAAAGATTTCTTGACTCTAGAGCAAACGGAGTAATTATGTTTTCAGGACCTTTGTCTTTTTGGACTTCTGTTGTACATAATGGACAATACCATAAAAATCTTAACAAAGGAGAGATGCTGAACTGTTTTAATAAACATTTTGTTGCTGTAGGATCATCGCTAAAGGTACCTAAAACTATAGATATGAATAATGATATGGAAATCAGAGGAAGGCATTTAACAGCTCTTCATTTTAGTTTTAAAACGCTTTCTACTTGTCAGATAAAAAAAGCTTTCAAACTACTAGATGAAAATAAGTCAGCTGGTCCTGCAATTTTAGAACCACTTTTTTTTTACTGACTTATCTCCCGGATACCCGGATGTCAAGGCTTTGAGAGTCCCGTTCTATGGTCCAGATGGATTTAAAAAAAAGAAACTAATATAGTTTCGTGCGCTGTCATTTACAATTCACCAGGTTAAAATAATGTCAAGCTTTATGCTTGATTTATTTGTAACACTTTAACCTCAAAACCTTTTCAGCTTTCTCTTTCTGCTAATTGTCAAGTCAAGTTTATTTGTACAGCGCTTTTCACGATACAAATCATTGCAAAGCAACTTTACAGCAAATTAAGTTTCTACAATATTTAGTGGTAGCTTATCAGTGGTGACTGTCAGTTAATGTACATATGGCAGAAATGTACGGAAAAATCAATTAAAAGATGTAATAAAATAGATGATGAACACTATTAACAGCAATTATTATATGATGCAATCAAACTTATAGCGATACGTGGGAAGCGGTCCTGACACGATGATCGTCGTCGCGGGCGATGTGCGGCGCACCGTCTCGATCAGGCTCCTGAAGTCCCTCTTCAGCGTCTCCGTCTGCCGCAGCTTGGTGTCGTTAGCCCCCGCGTGAAGCACGACCGCTCCGGGGCTCTCGTCCCCCTTCAGGATCGCGGGTATCTGCGCAGAAACATCGAGAACACGAGCACCAGGGAAACAGTGAGTGTGCACTTTACCTTCAGCTAACGTAGCACGGACGTGCCGGACGATGGAGTCTCCAACGATCACAGTGTCGTGTTCCGTCTCGCAGAGGGGAGTGAAGCGGTTCCGGGTGGAGGTCTCGAAGACCGGAGGCGGCGGAGGGGGAGAGGTCGTGCACTGGGCCTGTGCAGATAAACACACGGAGTAGAGGTGGTGGGAGAGTTAGCAGCGCGCTGTATACTTACCTCGGACTTGTGAGCGTCAGCCTGGGATGATTCCAGCGCGGCTC